AATCTTACTCCTTTTAATATGTCTTTAGCAAGATCTACTTTGCTAAGATCTAGAAATTTTGTTTTCTTGAATACTCTTGTTGTCATTGCTGGTAGCGTTCCTGTTGGTGAAGTTGTTGTCATATATTAGATTTTATTTAAATCTTCTAGTAGAAATTCTATTGGTACTTGTTCTGCGAATGCACAGTATCTTATATAATCCTTTAATGATTTTTCTGCTCCTTATAATGTCCAGTTAAGTGTTTTTTTCTTGATATTTATGTGCAAGTATTAATGCTGCTATTCTTTTGTCTTCTGTATATCATGCTTGTTGTAAGTTAAATACTCTTTGTAGTTGTGCTATTCGATATTGGTCTGTTTCGAATTGCTCTTTGGTTATAATATTTTTTGAGAATTTACTATTGTTGAAATGTGCTCTGAAGGCTTCGTAATACGTTTTGTTATTTTTGTAATATATATGACTAAATAGATATCTTCTGTTTAATGCTTCACTTATTGTTATTAATTAGATATTTCTGTTTTGTAAACTTTGTTATATGCTCTAGATTTTGATTAAATTTAATTGCTATTTCTTGTTGATATTCAATAGGGTCATTGCTTCTAATACAATATACATGATATGCTTGTTTGTGATCTGTTAATAATATTACTTGTTTATTTTCTTTAGTTAATACTGATATTTTGTCGTATATATCTTGTTCTTGCTTGGTTAAAGGTTTATACTTTGATGGTATTGCTTTATATTCTAAGAGCTCAAGTTGTCCGTCAAGTTTGTTCCAATTAATTGTGTAGTCAGAATTAATAAAAGATTCTTCCTTATAAGCTCAAAGATCTTTGTAACTTTTGGATTTGCTCATTAATTAATAGGTTGAATAGTATTATTTATAGTATCATGTGTTCGTAAAGCTTCTTTTGTTATATTTTGAACTTTTCTTGTATTTCGTTTATATTTTGTCTTCACTTGATAAATACGTATAATAATGTCGAGAATATTATTATAGTTATGATTACAATATTTTTAGTAATTATATTTTGGTCTTGAAAATATCCTGGTGCTTCAGTAGTCTATAGTTGAGGTAATAGTTGATGCTGTTGGTTGTATAGTTTGAAATGCTGTTTGTACTATTGTTTAGAATATTGTAGGTGTTGGTATAATTATGGTTGAGAATTGTATTTGTTGACGCTCTTGCATTTAAATATATGGTGAGTTTTTATGCTTTCTTTTAGGTGCTACTGGTGCGTATAGTTAGTTAGGTTCTGATAGGTTTTCAAATCATTCTAGGTGTGATGTTATGTGTTGCTTCAGTATACTATCTCCAAATAATCTAAATGCTTGGTTGAATTATTGTTGTGGTCTTTGATATCTGGCTACTATGCCTTGTTGTTCTACTGATGGGTGTATATAGTTATGTTGTTGCTAGTATTAGTTGGGATTATTTAAGAATTTGGTATGTTTCCTTATCTGGTTAGTGTATATACTTTGGTCAAGTAAGTAGTTATTCTTCTTTTTCTTTCTTTTGAATAGGAATATTTAATTAAAGAGAGTATTCAAGAAAACAAAATTTCTAGATCTTAGCAAAGTAGATCTTGCTAAAGACATATTAAAAGGAGTAAGATT